TTTGATTTAAATTGATTTGACTTCATTCAGATGCAGGAAGTGGGTAGTTTGTTTAGAAGCTTTTCTGCCAAATAACTATAGGAAGTTCCTCTGAATTTCTCCATGTGCTTGTGTGTACATGCATTTTCAGTACGTGGCATGTCACAATCTTCATTGTGGCCCAAGTGATACACAGAGGACACTATAACATCCTTATACTCAAAATGGGTGAACAGAATATGATATCGAAAGTCTTGTAGCAGAATGTGTGTGGAGTGCATCTTTAGAGAACTTCTCAGCTATTCCTTGTAAATATTCTACTTTAGGTATTTAGGCATTGTAATGTATTACAAAGGTAGGCATTCTGACTAGCTGTGCAGCATTAAACTTGATCTGAACTTTTTAGCAGTAGTATATTCTGTTGCTTTTTATGTATTGTAAAGTTGATAAGAATTGCTTATATATTTATATTGTGTCAAATATTAGCAACATTCAGTATTGTGCAGGAGAGATTTGCAATGCGGTAGAAACGTACGAAGTGGAATTTGACAGGCCTGGTTTTTAATGATTCAATCCTTGACTTTTCAGAAGTACATACTAAAATATACGATTAGGATGGACACCGGCTTGCTGAATTAGGACTTGGAGAAATTTTTCATGCTTGAAGGATATGCAGTTCCATTATGATAATTTGTGTAACACAGCAGCCCTGCAAAATTGATTTTATTAGATATTTTGTCTTACAGCATTAGAAAAAAAAATAGAAGAGGAAAACCATTTGTAAAACCAAAAGTGACCCGAGTAATTAATTTAGTTGTTTATTTAAATATAGATCATTTAAATTCTCAGTGGTCAGGAAGATAGCCACGTTACCTTTCCAAAAGAACATTCCCATCTTTTTCTAAGTTGCTTTGAATTGCTTTTGGCAAATATAAAAGCTGCACAAAATCTGTTTTGCAGATGTGAAATCCACCATTAAAAAAGTTAAGCTTGCGTGAGTGGAGCCTTTTTTCAACCTAAGATTTCTTTGAAAATACAGTTATGAAAGAATCTAAAAATATTTATGTGGTTCTGCATATCCTTCAGTATAAAAATATTAGCTGTTAAGGAAGAATGACCGTATACATTGAAGCAGTTTTTTTCAAAAAAATCATTCCATATTTGTTGTTTTTACTAGTAAACAAATTGTTATTAAACACAACCTGTTTTCAAAAAAAAGAACTAAGAAAATCGTTCAGGGAATATTATTACCCTTTGTTTTCAATGGAGCTCAGACATAACTTTGCTGTAGCAGAAGTGTTACATTTCTGCTAAATGCTGCTACATAACCTGATTATAAGAGTAATATATTTTTCTTTCACTCCACATTCATTTTAGACCTATGGAAATAGTTGTCTTAAGCTATTCAGGCCAGATTGCTTGAATTGTCACTTGCTTGAAGGCAATGGTAAAGATTTCTATTAAGTTTTAACACAAATGAGATTACATTGGGCCCAGGGTAGGTTAGGAGATTAAAATGACACTGCTGTAATGCAGTCTTTATTTGTTATGTCTGGGGAGGAGAAAGAGGCCTACATGGTCCAAAATAACAAATAAAAAAAAGATCATGCAAATCAAAGGATTGTGCTCTCTGAATTTACCATGATGCAATGTGGTGATGGAGGGTCCATTGTGTACAAAAACAGAGAAGCAGCTTTATCTGGGAATTGTTTGGTGTAGTGCTGGTTTAAAGCCATATGCTGTGAAGGCAAATTATTTGAATTTCTGTGATTCTTTCCTTGTTTATTCCTTTGTTTCTGTTGATTGTAAAGGAAAGGGACTGGAAAAAGAGTCAGGTCAATGGTCATTGACAGTGCATGGAGAATAAAAGGATAACCACAAATGCAGAAGAAATTATTCTACATCTCACTCAAACTATTTTATGATGGCTCTTTTTTTAAAAAAAAAAAAAAAAGTATGTTTCTGAGGTTCTTCTGAGATCCCTTCTTAGATGGTCTGTGTCTAGTCCTCCGCAGTTTGGAAAGAAAATATAAAACATACAGTTTGTAGGTGACTTAATGTTTTGGGCAGTGCTTATTCAATCAGATACCACAGGCAGGTTGATTTGTGCGGTAAATTAAAAATGGTCTATGGCGTTTTATTGCAAAAATATCTCAACATGTTGTCTATTGCAAATAAAATTGCAAAGCTATCAGTAAAAACACTTGGAAGGTTCAACTTGAAAAAGGAGTTTGAAGAGCTCAGTCTTAGCTCAAGGGTTAGGGCCTGTCTGGAAGTGATTAATCAGTTTGTATATAAGATGAATGATTTCTTATAATTGTTTTTTTATTCTTATAGAACTGTTTTATAGATCAAGTAGCGGTAGGGGGACAGTAAACATTAAGTATGGGAACTTAGCAATTCTGAGGGGGCAGTAAACACATTTTAACAATGTGGATTTTTAAACAGTGCATGTAATTCATTTGTGAGGCAGTGTTACCAACTGTCTACACCATAAGGAGTTATTCAATAAACTTAGATTTTTCTTCTTGTGCTACTGAGCTGCTGCTAAGTTTGATTCAGGGATCAAAAATTTTAGCCCTTGTTATGTAGTGTATGAAGTAGAACTAGATAGGCCATGAGTGTTCCCTTTTTTTATACTTGAAAGGCAAAAGCAATAAGAAGGTTTGAATTAAATTTATAGCATTAAAAAGTAATTGAGGTTTTGACAAGCCACAGAGCCCTGAAAAGAGGAGGACTGAGGACCCTAAAATGTGGAATCCAGAAAACTAATCCTACAAAAGAGGGTAGAGAGGTTAGGTTAGGCTGAAGAGAAGAATTAGATTGGTGACTGATGCTCAGAGATTACTTATGGAATTGCATCTGACATGCTTGTGGGACATCTCAGGAAGAAAGAGAAGAAAGTGTCAGATTTTAAAATTCTGAGTATATAACCATGGTTTCTGGAAAATCTGTTCATCTGAGAAGTAAGCCAAGTCCCTGGGAAAATTCAGCTGTGGCTCCTGCAGAAGATAATGATCCCAAGAGGGGATAGATAAACTGGAGATACTGGATATTCAGACGAAATGCTGG